AATTGATGTGAAAATTATCGCCATAGTGAGCTAGGACTTGGGTTAAGATATAATTAAATATTAGAATTGCTTGTGATATTTTATTATATATATCATACAATATTTCGAAAAAACATGAACATGAAGGACAAGTGAATCATTTTTCTGATAAAAGTATCCAACTAAAGTTGTTAACAGCGTTCATTGTCACGTACATATATTCAAGACATAATGGCGATGGACAGTAACCTTGTTTGCCTGAATTTTAATAACTGATATGTTTTTGTTGTGTTGTTTATGCTGCCTCGTGTATTGTTTATGCAATTAACGGGAAATGTCTATGTTATTGTAAGTATGGTTATTCGTTTAAAATTTCCATTTAGGTGGACATAATCTGATGGTAAGCTGTGATCCCTCGTCTCTGAAGACGCATTTTTTATTCACTATCGTTTTTCAACTGACCATTCTGCTGTTGCAATTGTACGGTTAACTTAAGTACCCCATCAGGGGTGTTGAGTAAGGCTTTTCTTCGATATGTTTGTAAATACGTTTATATCATATTGAGATTAATTCAAAGATTTTATATCATTAGGATGACAGAAAATAATTATTGGGCCATATCAGAAACTTAACGTCTTCTTAGCTATTGCGGAGTGTTGTAAAGTACACAAACACAGAATGGATTTGTCAATAATGTAAAAAGTTACTTTTATTATATTAAGTAAGCTGTACGTTAGGATCAAATATACGTACATGACATTGTTAAAGCAATGCTACCTAATTGTGTCAAAAAAATTTATGAATTTTATTGAATTCAATTGAATATAGCTAATACATAAAATCTGGTTTTAAATACAAGTATGTACATTTATAAAAATTGTGCTTACAGTAATTAACACAAACAAGAATATTATATAACACTCAAATTAATATATTTCATACTGTACCGTCCGGTAATTGCTGTATTGAGAAATATATCCTCCTGATGATGTATTTAAATTAACTGATCTTTGTTATACAATACGGAGTCCTATAGCATGAGGTAAGAAGCCAAAAATAGGAACACTGTACTAACGTCCGATAAGTTTTTCCTAATCCAATTCTCTGAATCGATTTTATATATAGCCAGGTTATTTCCAAAGTGGTACTATTTAAAGCACTGGAAATTTTTCAGAATTTCGATGACTAGTCATACACACAACCTATACGCATTGGTGTATACATGCAAAATAATTGATAAAATGTATTTACCTGTAACGGATAAGGGTCAGGTTATCTATTTGAGCAGCTTAGTAGTTTTTTACCCACTACTCAGCAAATTTGCTACGATTATCACACATAGAAGTTTTGAGTCATTTAGGTATTACACTATTTACTACACAATGATTTTTGTGCATTAAACCCATATTTATCTATCAACAAAAATATATCATTAGATATAAATGTATTCGATATGTAATTATTCTTTTGCATTTACAAATATATTTATATATATATTAACATTTTTTATACTTACAATTTCACTCCAGTCGTCTTGTTTGTACACACACATCCTAATTTGTTGATCACCTAAGTGAAGACTGACAGAAGGGGATATGTTTATCTTATATATTGTGTTCGGAAAAATAGTTGATGACGTAATATTCCTATACAAAAAATTCGAAAATTTGATCTAGCATGCGGTCTTCTCATATTTTATATATATGTTATACTGGCAGCGCAAGATATAAGTTAAATCAGAGTTTCATCAGATGCAAAGAAGAAAGATATTTGATTTCATAAAAGCTTCATTTTCGTAAATAGACACATAATTCACAATTTGTGCATATATATAGATAATCACCACGCAGTGTTAATTATGTTGCAATCTCTTGGTGAGTAGATATATTAATTATTTACTTTGCTACTCTTCTGTAGTTTTAGGTCGTTATCCTCTGCACTCGCAATGCTGATATTTATCTTCATAACAACACTTATTTAAGTAGAGAGCCTGATCGACTGCAAATTTGTATGTTGGGCGGATTTTTGTTTCTGAATACGGTTATCATTATTTGCGATTTTGCTTGACATACACTTACCATCTATTTTAGATATGTTGAAATAAGTCATCGCCATGTAAAAGTATATCAACATTTTTGATCAAATTTGCGTTTGGCTTTGATCAATCAGATAGCAACATGTAGATTAAGAATTTGATCTGATGTTTTTGTATGTTTATTGTCATTTTGTTGATTTGCATTTGTGTCTCAAAGTAACATTGATAAAATGTAACGACTCTTACAATAACTATGATCATAAATAGAACGAAAGTCGTGCTAATTAGTATTCTAACAACGTATATCCTAATCCTGAAAAACTGTAAGTCACCAATCTGTTTCCAAACAGTCGTAAAGGGTAGATAAAAATGACACAACACACTCGTATATGATACCAAAATTTTGATGTTAGAAATTATATTTCTTAACTGTTAAATTGTATTTTAGTGTATCTGTTACGTAAAGAAAATGCTACTCGTTTTGGTGTCTATCGTTTACCAATGAGTAATAAGAGGAATTAATATAATGAAGACATCGTAACACTGAAACTGATTCAGAAATCCAGTTAGATAATACCTCCTATTATTTTAGTCGATATCAAAAATGATTCCGAATATATATATAGTCAAGAACTATTTTTTAAAACATTCAAAGTGCACCTTTTCCGATTATAAAGATCTCCGGGGTATCATATTTTAAACTACTATTAATATAAATATGACTTGTTAAATACAATCAATGGTAGTTATACATATGGGAAAACATAGATGCTTTAATGAAATAATTACATAAGTATCTATGTAATATTACTTATTTTTTTTGTAAATAACCGAAACAACTGAACGGCAACACTCGAAATTAACAACACCATTTTCTAGGAGTGCGTATCTGTTTCCAATATGTTCACAGACTGCATTACTGCTTACACAAATACTGTAGTTTGTATTCCGAGCACGCACACCATTTGAGATTTCTTTTTTTTCTCACGAATCACCTAAACATTTACATAATGTAAATGAGACGGTATATAGAATATATAGATACACATGACTGCATGGAAATAGAGATTAGATATACGAGGATGTCATGATAGATATTACAGAATATTGCCTTTGAATTTTACCAATTAAAAAACAACAAGAAAATACCAACTTGTCAAGATAAGCATAATCCCAACAACAAGGGAAAATATGAACAAAAGAACGAAAGAAAGATTTACACGGATATTCCTGAAAAAAGTACAATGAGAATAAGACCAAATGTTCAGGAAGAGTGAGTGTTTTCTGCTCCATCCATATAAACTTGGGTCATTCCATGCAAATAATGTCACGCTCTCAAATGAGAACAATGTATAAAACAAAGGAATCAACATGCATCGAACATCAAACATGTCTAGCCTTAAACGGGCGTCATGTGTAAAGTAAAAAGTATGAAACAAAATGCAGACATGAATCTTAAGAATGGCATGGCAGAAAGTAGAGAATGAGAGCAACATGGATCTTTGCAGAAAGCAAGCTAGGTAGTCTATAGCGACATCCGTTTCGTGAAAGAGGCCATATTGAGTCATGGAAATCAATTTAATTTGCCAAACGAGAGAAGGTTATCTAGTTAATTGAAAACTGAATATTTATTGATACAACTAGCATTATGAAACCTTGACGAGAGTTCCAAGACTTTCTGAATTAAATAGTACCATTAGATTTCAACAAACTTATATCGTAATTTTGCCATACACTTGGAGGCAATGCTCAGACTTAAACGAAAAAGACGTTTTCGTGAATACTATTTCAGTCGTCATATTATATGCTCATTTCAAAATCCAATTTCAAAAATGGTATTGTTAATAGGCCTACACGAAACACCGTCTATATTATGATTTGAAAAAAAACCCAACATACCCCTTTTGATATTGCTAAATACATATTCCATTTCAAAAGCTATTTCGTTCACCTAATCTTTTTAACTACTTATTTAGGTAAGGGTTGAATTTATAAAATATGTCTGATGCATTATAATGCTTACCAGTAAGGGGAGTGTTTAACCCCTATTACTATCCCGTTATACTTTTACGTGAACAACATCGAAAATATTCATACCTAAATTAAGTTTAGATATACTTATACAACATAATTGATCTCACTACTCCAGCGTGTTTACTCATGCTAAGCATGAGTATTCCTATTACATATTTGATCCATGTTTATTATCTGTAACAAATACCACGATCTAATTAATAATCGACATAACAAGAATGATAATTATGCTACTGAGAGATTTCTAAATGATATGAATGCTCAAGAACATATTACTTATCATGCTTCCTGTAAATGCACTGATACTGAAGTTAAATATCGCCCCCCCCCCTTTTTTTTACATATTTGTTTGAATAAATATATATCGTCGAAATTCAGTATTATCGAATTTTGTGAGCCAAACTGTATTCAGTCATTTGTGTTGAAGGCAAAAAGCAATCGTTGAGATTTTTTCTTTGAGAATAAGGAAGTAAATTATTTTCGACAATGGCATAATTTAAGGTTGTTACAAACTTATCTACATCACACTAAAAATATTTTGATATATGGTTATACTTTTTTTGTTATGATTATAAATAAAGGTATGAAAATATACCATGTTTTTATCAATTACTAAAAGCTTATGTACAAAAAGATATACAATGACATAGAAACAGTCTTGAGACTGTTTGGTCGATTATACATAAAAATACGAAATAATACCATGTTTTTATCAATTACTAAAGCATATGTGCAAAAAAGATATACGATGACCTAGAAACATAGTTTTGTTGAGACTGTTTGATCGATTATACATAAAAATTATCAAAATATACCATGTTTTTATCAATTACTAAAAACTTATGTGCAAAAAAGATATACAATGACATAGAAACATAGTCTTGTTGAGACTATGTGGTTTTTCAAACACATCAATCATTAAAAATCTAAAAGATTGAAATCGTCATGTACATCTTTCCCTCATTTAAATTTTGAATTGTAGCAAATAAATTCAATCATAGTTCAGTCAGATCTTGACCAGATGAGGGAATAGCTAGAATTCATGTCCATGCATAATATAAACAATGTATACACATCTAAAATGTTACGATCCATAATAAAAATCCAAATTTGATAAGTTCTTGACAAATGTGTCACAAAAATCCCGGGACGTTTCCAGTTATCCGCTTTCTTTTTTCAGCTCCCTGCGAAGGCTTTCCACGTTCGGATATGCTCCTTCATTTAAATGAACAATCAAAGAAAATAATTGGTTACAGTTCAGAAAAAGATAAAATATAATTATTAAACCTCAAAAGCTAACTTTTCAGAAAACTACTTTGCTAATAGTATATGTATTGAAATACGAATTTTGAGTTTTGACATCTTTAACATTGAATATAATTTTCGTATTTGTTTGGATATGAAATACATTGTAAATATATTGTCAAATTAGAAATTTCAAACTTTAGTGATAACGTAAATAATGTTTCGATAAAACCTGAAGTATTCTTAAGTTTGTTTTTAAATCTTTAATATATTTCATGAAAAAATAAGTTCTTCATATTGTGCTTTTTTGATAGACTTTAGTTGGAGTTTCACTTCATATATTTTCATAAAGTTTCACTTCTTCAACATTTTTTAATCATTCGCTAAAATCATCTAGTTATCCAAACTTTAAGATAAATATTAATATGAAATTCATTTAACTGAGATATGGATATATAGTCAAACATTTATTTACAATTGTTTATCATTTCAACTCTTAATTCATTTAGAATTTGTGTTGTTATCATTAGATGATTCAAATCAAACATGGTGTCGTAGAATCTAGAAAATTTATTTATTTTACAAAGGCATGTATAAAAGCTCGTAGAAAAGCCATAAAAATTGTTGGATATCATATTAATAATAATCATATTATGTTTAAATAAAATCGATATTAAATGTGCCTTTAATAATATCACATCACACATGCAAGAGTTGTGACTTTTTCACTAAAGCTAATACAAATGTAGAACATCATTAAAGACTTAAGGTCGAAGAATAGCTGTTTTCTTCACAACTGGCCCTTCCTTTTGATACACCTCGACATCTTCTAGCTAGTTATTTAATATAATTTTACAGATCTATGTCAAAACACAAGATTTATTTACCAGTTCTCATGAAAAAACGTACGACTGCTTCCTTGATATCAGAGTTTTCATAGCCAGCATCAGAAATCTCAATCAACATGTTGAGCTCCAACGTGGTTCTTCGCCAAGGATGGATACCAGTCACTAAAATTATCACACGACGTAAATGATATTTATTTTTGAAAAAAGTAGGTAGAAGTTGAATGGAATTTCCATCAGTTGTGTATATTTTCCATTTAAATATCTGTTTACATGATCTAGTCCCATGTTATCGGCCTGAATTACCAACTATTTTTGAATATTGATTTGCCTGTTGATGCAAAGACACAAAACTTCGATATATGATATTTTTTTCTCCAACCAGTACCACAATCGAACAAAACAAGGTGTTATTTAACGGTCTTGAGTAACTACATAACCCTCACTATGTTTCTACTTTAAGAATATTTGAAGTTTGTTATAAACACTTAATCAGTAAAATGAAATGGACTGTAAAAGTTGTTTTTAGTCGTATTTTTATTTCGCTATTTTCAAAGATGGAATGAAATTCAATAAAAAAAATTAAAAAAAAAAACACACTGAAAGAAAAATAATTGAACTTACCGTCTGGTCGTTGCTCCGTCGTAGCTACTTCCTGTAGAATACAGAAATATACATCAAAATATTATCTCTGAAATGCACACCAGTTGATGTACCCAGTACATAAGTTCACAAGTTATTAAATAGAAAATTAAATTATACACGTTAACTTTAATAAACGTCTAACCAAAATGATAGTTGTAGAAGTTGGATGGAGTACTGATTGACTTAATACCTGTTTTATAGCTCTTCTGACATCTTCATTTTCCCACCGGCTGACGAAAGGACAGAAAGGGGACCAACGTGTATGGTCTTGTAACGGTGCTGAGGGGTTGATGAAAGCTTCCATTCTCAGCTCAAAAGGGCAACAAAAACATGCCAGCACTGTTGATAAAGAGATTAAGAAACACAAGTCTTCTAGTTCAATCACAACATTTATACATTAAATGAAAAGCATAACTTATATATATATATATTTATGTGTTTCCTGTTTTTTCCGACCGTCCCTATATTTTTCTACCGACCTTATTTTGTTCAACACTTGCCAAAATATTACTCTAAAATATATTTGTTATATTTCCTGATCCCCAGCACTAGTTTTCTAAGGCAAATTCACCTAAGACATTTGAGATATATTTATGCAGACCATTGTCAGACATTGTCCCGCCATCTATCTGGAAAGATAGCGCTTGCATTGCGATCATCGGTTTTGGCGATTAAGTTTGTAAAATTCACGCATATGCCAGAAAACATCATGAATTTTCTTAAAATGCAAATGCTAAATAAGGCTTTCCAGACATAATGTACATATGCACTCCTGTCTGACTCATGGGTATAAACCATTTCCTAATCAATATGTGGGACTTGAGAATTCAGTGTCAATTGCAAGCAAACATTATTAATATAATGAAATAAACATAAAATAAAAATATCTCTACCTCCCAACCCTAGCTTTTCTGGCAGAAATAGAAAATATATTTGATTCCCTCGCTGCTTTATAAATTATAACGGCGTTTTCCGGACTTTGCGGCATTTGAAAGAACTCAATACTCACCAGAATCCTTCCTATAAAATCCAGCTTTTGCAACAGGAAGATAATGCAGGTCGTTATTGAATGTTTGCATCCGCCGATCAAGTTTGGAGAATTTTAAATCGACTTTGTACTGCGCTTGGTGCCTTCTGTGCAATTCCATGTAACCTGCATCCGTCACACGTAACCCATTCTTTTCATGTACACAGTCCAAGATGGGATTGAGAGTCAATGATGAATCACTTACTACTTCAGTAAGATTATCAGAATTCGGCGATAGATAATCATCACTGGTATCTTCAGCATTGCTATGTGATTTTCTAGTCAAACTAGTTGAAGATAAACTTGATGAAGGGGTCATAATCAATTATACGAATAAAAATCAATAACACTTAATAGTAATACTGAAATAAATGATCTTGTGCTTTCTTATGAAATATTAATCATCCAGGCAGTCATTTGCTAAACCATGGTCATCGCTTGCCCATATTCCGTAAAAGGAAGAGCACGCAAGTAAACACCTATGTTTTCCAACACTTCGGATAAGACGGTGGTTAGAAGTGTTTAGAAGTTTACAAAGATATCTTTCTATTAATTCTTTTTTAGATTTCCGACTTTCCCCCGAGTGATGTATTGTGAAGTTTTTGCTATACTGCTCAAGTTTCCAAGCTTTTTTATGCTTGCCGGACATAGCGAAAACCAAGCATGGCTGAAATGAATAGAAATGATAACAGATAACACAATGATAACATCATAACAGGATATGACTATTTTAAGTGTTAAACAAGCATGTCACGACTAAATTCACACAATTTATAACACTTATACTTTAATAGTGTTAACCTAGTAACATAGGGGTTTTACTTTTTGAATATCAGGGAAAGTAACTGCTGTACCCAAAGGTGTCAGTGAACCTAACGCGAAGCGAATAATATTCTCCGTGAGGAATTGAATCTATCTCAATAATTTCAATTTACTTCGTGATATTGATTGTATTTAGGTAACTGTGTAGTCGAAATGTCCTAACCAGACTATTGAATAAAAAGGATTTAGCTTATGAAAAAAACCATGAAAGATCATGGAAGGGATAATGATAATAAGCTACAGCTAATTTGTTATTTGACTGTGGAAGTAAAATATTTTATTCAAAACTAATTATATTTTTTCAAGTTTTGTTGTTTAGAAGCAATGGATGCCATTGTTTTTTACATCTATGAATTTTCCAATATCTTAGATATCTGTTGATGAAATGTTGGTAAAAATAGATTTTAACAACAATTCTTATTCTTTCTTATTCTCGGAAAAGATATGATTTGTGAACAATATAAGAAGCCTTGTCTTTGAACATGTCCTCGTATTTACACCAACTGCATCATAACCTATTTCCAGAAAATATACCGAAAATCAAAACATGTATTCTGTGATCCCCAATAATAATAATAATAATAATAATAATAATAATAAACCACACAAATTATTATACTATCATGTTAACTATTTCGTTAGCTACATTCATGTTTTGTCTTTCATCTTTCGATGTAATTTAGTGAATTATCAGCCGAAAGTGTGGTATTCCAAAATCGATATCATGTTCGTTTTTTCGAAAATGCTGTCAACATGTTAAATAAAAACAGAGAAAGACTATACCTAATCGGAAGCCTTTTAACGACATGAACAACGGAAGGTGTATTGCAATGTATAAAGTAAATCTAACATGTCTTGTCTTTCATGAGTGTAGATTGGAGCTCTCGAAATTAATACATTTAATTGCTTCTGAAGTTAGTTTTCCTTTCATTTTCTATAAATTATTCTCGAATGTTTTGGTACCATAGTGTTAAACGCAGTAACGCACTAAATTCAAACGATAGCTGGCTTTCTGAGCCTTCAATGATAAAGAAAGAAACACTTCGTAGACAGGTTGTCTTGATAATAAATGCAAAAATACCAACCATGTTTTGTATCTACCTTCAAAACATTTGGTTAGTGACGACAACAGGATGATTAAAGATTCCAAATATAGCACGTCTAGTCATCCACACATGACTATATATAAGAAAGCATAGCATAATGACTCAGTATTAAACACCCAATCAAATAACACGACACGCGATACCATTTTACACGGGTAGGTAATTACGAACGACAATATATCACATAATATTTGCTCAACGTTACACACGAAACGTTCTACTCCACTCATTGGAAAATACAAGAGATACTTCCAACCCTGGTTATTAATGAACCAGTCCACTATATAAGCTTTCCTTATCCTGGATAAAAAAAGCTACTGATAGTAAACAAACATCGGATTACCCTTTACCTCCACGAAGCACATTAAATTCTAGGCGAGAGAGCAGGAACTGGGGTTACTGGTTAGGTAATAGTTATTTTCACATAAACCAAAAATGAAATAGAAATAAGCTATCAAAGCGACAAATCACCTGACAAGGAAAGTGATTTCAAAGCTATGTTGGTTGGCTAAGAAACTATTCAGGACGAGGACACAGCAAACATGTTATACCGAAGGAAAACAAGGGGTTCTATACCACATCTACTGTTTACTTACATAATCACACATTCATAAAAGAGTAAACATGAAATGTAAACTTACCAATCGAAGGTGACACTTCTCACTTGTACGAAAAATTCAGACTTGTCCTGTAATAAAGTTTGAAATAAGTTACAACGTACTATAGAAATAAAAATAAAGGGTAATTCAAAGCATGTAATCAATTTGAATTGCTTGATTGATTCATATTGTATTGTCTTTAATTCTTTACATACATCGCGATTAATAAAATCGAATTAAATAATGTTTATGTATTCAGACACGTCCAGAAAATATGTCTAATAAGAAAGACACAAATATGAAACAACTACATTGCAAAATCAGATATGAAATATATGTGATTTTGGCTCGAGTCTTGATTTTTTCAGGAAATGATTTAATTAAAACATACATATTAGTTTTATAACCTGCACCGGACGATATAGCAATATATTTGTTAAGACAGTGTGTAAATCTGAAAATTGAATCAGCTTAGTGGTAAATTATTCCAGGCGTTACCACAGTGATGGAAATGTCAACCTCATCCGTCTGTAACTATAGCAACTGTATCAATATCGACAAAGACTCCGTTTGTCCTTAGAATTATGTATGTCAATTATTTGATAGGTGGTGTTTATATTTACATTATAATTCAGGCTATTACTCTTAAAACTTGGGCAAAATATAAAAATGTTTGGAAAGTTTTAACTAACTCCTTATTCATCCGAGTAGTTGATGATCAATTGTATAGTGTTCTAAATCACCCTCAACAGAAATATTAAGATTAAGAAATTCTAAGAATGTACCAATATCGTATCAAGTACCATCTCTGTCTGACATCAAACTGCGGATACATTACTCAGCTGACCGAGAAATCTATTAATAGTGACTGATCATTATGCGAGCGGTTTTCCCAGTTGTTATAACCAAAGCGTTCTGTTTACAGGTATTTCATAATATGTCCATGCACAAACAGCATAATGTTGATACTAGATCACGGGTCGGGTGTACAGCACTGAGAAAATAGTGTAGCTGGTCAGGTGATATATCAATATTAAAGATTGTCCAGAAGACACACAAGTGCCTTTTCATAATTTAGAGTGAGATAGAGATACAGCCAAACAATGAATTAAACTGCATGATACAGCTGTTTCGTCCTTCTAGGACTCGTCAGTGATACTCAGGGCCTAAAGTTTGAAGCCTAGGAAGCGACTAAGGAAATTCCAAAGCTATCAAAAGAAAAATCAAAATCTAGACGGGGAGGTTCAGCAGCCCCATAATCAGATAAATTTCATAATGTTCATACATCATATAATTTTATAGTTACATCAAGTACATATTATTTGCTGAACACAGCCCACTATTCGAGAGATTTAAAACGTGGCAAACAGGTAACGGAAAACCTCGGGGACTTAACGTACACCAGCAGTGTCTGGCACTTGCTATGTAAGATTGTACAAAAGACACACAAGTGAATAGCACTTTTTCATAATTTAGAGTGAGTTACAGTAGAACCAAAGAATGATACAAACTGCGTCGTCTTTCTAGGACTCGTCAGTGATACTAAGAGCCTAAAACAAACGTTAATAAAGTTTGTCTATGCGATACATTGACTTTCTTTGTACTTGTGCGTTGTTTTTGCTTTCCACCGACGAGTGCATACTAAACATTTTATTACATTCATCTTATCACATTATTGTTATTAATTCCGATTTCACTATGAAATAACAATGCAATGAAATTACTTTTGATCTAACCAGTTGTTCCGGTAATAATTGATAAGCGTGAGATTGTATCTGCGGTTATATCTAGATATAACTTCGACATGTGAGTATTTATGATCAATAATGTACATGCCCTAGATATGGAGTCCAACCACCGCACAATGGCCGATATTGACAGCCTGTTTTTCTCATTTGCATTTCTTGCCCGAATGACGATTAAATGATTAATGACGTAATTGATATTTGCCCAAATTTGCTTTCGAACGTTATTGTGTATAGGAATCTTCATCAGAGTAACTCAAACTTGTTAAATTATGTACATTGATGGTTCTAATTTCTCTCTGTTAATCTTGTTTAAATCTATATATACAATACCATATGGATAACCCTACTGTTTTTGCTGCGGTTTATCGTAATTATAATGTTGCAGTTTTAATGGAGACAACAGATATCTATAGCAGTTTAATAGCGATCTACCGCCACACATTTCAAAACGCAGTATCACCTAAATGTAGCCAAGTTAACCACACTATCATGCTGGCGTGAAAGCACTTAAGCATTTATAATGTAAACATTCTGATAAAATTTTCAGTTTTTATCTTAAACGATTATGTGAAATCGGAGAAAAAATATGGGAATGTGTCATTTACTAATTAACATACATTATACAATTTGAATACATTTTGAGGTCAGGTTTCATTATTTCATATATGTCTCCACGCGCTTTTATTAAATCATGTTATTGTTATCATATATGCATCATAACACCTGTTGATAAGTAACACATTTCTATCGGATACGAAGTAAAGATATGTTATTAGCAGTTATTGTTATCGTATACTGTTATAAAAAAATACACACAGGTACTAACTAACTTGCCAAGAGTACAACAAAAAACATTCATGAATACAAATTAATTACCAGTTCCACCGTTGTAATTCGGTAACATACTGTGTAAAACTTCCATCTGGCATCATTGTTTACCCTATACACACTGTACCATGTGCTGAGGTCTATAAATAGCAATGTGTCACCGACGTAAGCTTATGTATTAATAGTAACATTTGGGTTTTTCCATCACCAATCACGATATCGGTAGGATGGATATATATAGTAATGAAGAAATATCTTACTATATTGATTTGAAATAGTTTGTGGTATACATAATCGGTATACGATAATAGACCGTTGTATTTACATCCCAAATAGCGATGATGCGTTTATCTTTACATTGTGAGTATAGTGGGTTATGATACAAGTTCATATACGC